AAATAAAATCACGCATGCCATGGCCACGTAAAAAAATTGAATTAGATAAATCAACTTCACAAATGTCAACATACAGTTGTGCTGAGTATAGCGTGTATGACAAAGTTAGATATTTGCTATTTTTGTGTTTATAATAAATTGTATCCATAAGTTTGCTGTTGTAGTCCATCCAGTTAAATATTTATAAGTAGAAATTATATTGTATAAGATATATTACATATCGAGAATTATGGGAAGGAAGGAAATTTCAGTGGATATTCGCAATTTAATAGTAAAATTATGGAATGAGGAAAAGTCGTATGGAGAAATTGCAAAAATTGTTGGTAAAAGTCGCGCAACAATTCAAACTATTATAAAAAATTTTAATTCGAATGGATGTATAACTAATAAACCACGTTCTGGGCGTCCTAAAATTTTGAATCAGCGTGATGTTCAAACAATTCTGAAAAAAGTTAAAGCAAACCCTAGACTTAGTGCGCCTCAACTTGCTGAAGATGTTCAACAAGCCACTCAAAAAGCCGTACATCCAGAAACAGTGCGTAGAGTGTTGCGATCTAATGGATTTAACGGACGAGTACCACGAAGAAAACCGTTGATTTCCCAACAAAATAGGCAAAAAAGGGTTGAGTTTGCTAGAAATTACATTGAAAAAGATTTTCAATGTAAATTCAATATTTTCGGATCGGATGGTAGAGGAAAAGTATGGCGTAAGGTAAATGAAGATATGAAAACGGAGAATTTGCTTCCAACTGTTAAACATGGTGGTGGGTCGGTAATGGTTTGGGGGTCAATGGCGGCATCTGGAGTTGGAAATTTGGTGTTTATTGATGGCATTATGGATCACAGACAATATCTGGCAATATTGAAGGATAGGCTGAGCGCTTAGGAATCGTTGGGTCTTCCAACAAGACAACGATCCAAAGCATACCGCGCTTGTTGTCAAAGAATAGATACTCTATAATGTGCCGAAACAACTCCATTCGCCTCCCCAATCACCCGATCTCAACCCTATTGAGCACATTTGGGACGAAGTAGAATGAAGAGTACGAAAATATAGGGTAATCAACAAGGAATCTTTAAAAGATGCGTTAATTAAAGTTTGGAATGAAATACTAGCCAGTGTTACAGAAAATCTTGTGCTTTCAATGCCAAGAAGGCTACAAGCTGTCCTTGACTTGCAAGGAGGACCAACAAAATATTAAAATTTTTGTTTCTGTGTACATTTAACTTCGTAATTTATACGGTAATATCTAGTGTATGTAGACTTTTGTGACCCATTAATTCCAGTTAATTATTTTTTTCTTAATATTTACGTTCTTATATTACAATTTCAATGTTCCAATATTATCTACATTATGGTAATAATAGATACCTTANGATAAATCCGTTCGTATTTCCGTCGTAGATTAAGAAATATTCTTGTATTTAGTTAAAAAAAGAGGCCACAAAAAAAAACGAAACATAACCTCCAAATCCAAAGTATTCAATTTATGGGTGATTACAGCCGAAAACTTCTTGAAATACCTAAAAACATAAAGTTTATAATGAAATACCTAATACCTATAAATAATACAATAAATACATAATAACTATATTCCACAAAAATGTTACAAAGTCGTTTATCTTTTAGAGAGATGAACCCCAGTAGAAGCCTTGTAATGCTGGATTTAGCTTTAAAGAAGCGAACTCTCGAAGTATCATCATCATATTGTATGTCGACTGACAATCGAATTAGACGCTCTTTTAGTCCATTACCAAAAAATTTATTTGAAGAACCAACTTCATTAACTACCCTGTTACCTGCCGTGGAACCAGTACCTCCTTCAGAAGATGTATTTGAAGAGATGGCTTCGCTAACTACTACGCTGATACCGGTTACAGAACCAATACCTGAATTAACAGAAAATGTATTTGAAGAGCCAGCTTCGCCAACAATATTGTTACCAGTTGTAAAACCAGCACTTAAATTTGGTACATTTAAGCAAATAGAAGAATCTTGTACTATTTCGGATAATACTATTATAGTTTTACTGAATAAAGAGCCAAATACAGTATCAGGAATAGTTAAAAATAATATTTCTCAAGAAAACCAGGTTATTCAAGATATTAAAACTGAAAAAGGTCGTCAAAGCGATACTGACGAAATGGAAATTGAAATAATGGAAAATGAAGAAGATGGTNACTCACTGTAAGTAGAAATTATATTGTATAAGATTTATTACATATCGAGAATTATGGGAAGGAAGGAAATTTCAGTGGATATTCGCAATTTAATAGTAAAATTATGGAATGAGGAAAAGTCGTATGGAGAAATTACAAAAATTGTTGGTAAAAGTCGCGCAACAATTCAAACTATTATAAAAAATTTTAATTCGAATGGATGTATAACTAATAAACCACGTTCTGGGCGTCCTAAAATTTTGAATCAGCGTGATGTTCAAACAATTCTGAAAAAAGTTAAAGCAAACCCTAGACTTAGTGCGCCCCAACTTGCTGAAGATGTTCAACAAACCACTCAAAAAGCCGTACATCCAGAAACAGTTCGTAGAGTGTTGCGATCTAATGGATTTAACGGACGAGTACCACGAAGAAAACCGTTGATTTCCCAACAAAATAGGCAAAAAAGGGTTGAGTTTGCTAGAAATTACATTGAAAAAGATTTTCAATGTAAATTCAATATTTTCGGATCGGATGGTAGAGGAAAAGTATGGCGTAAGGTAAATGAAGAGATGAAAACGGAGAATTTGCTCCCAACTGTTAAACATGGTGGTGGGTCGGTAATGGTTTGGGGGTCAATGGCGGCATCTGGAGTTGGAAATTTGGTGTTTATTGATGGCATTATGGATCACAGACAATATCTGGCAATATTGAAGATNCCGTGCGTTTTTGCGTTATAATAATAAATGCCTTTATTAGAAAATAAGCTTAATTGTACAAAAAAAACATACAAAAGAAAATAGGCGAGTTCCAGCTTGTACTAGTTAGTACAGCTGCTCTAACTAACCTAAGAAACAAAAAAAGAAAAACATGACTCGGCCAAAAATTACAAAGCAACGGCTAGATACAACAACAAGATTGCAAAACATGTCAGATCAGCGTTTGCCCCCATGTAGACATTGTTCAAGATAACAAGAATTTTTCTGTGTAAATTTAAACCTTCCTAGTGAGAACCCCTTGCAATTATCGTCCACCGCATTATATTTCGAAGTTATTTGAAATATGTATGACCTCTGAAATAAAGACAAACGATAGAAGCGTGGCGGCAGTCTTCCGCGAAATCGCGTATTTATTCGGTGGACATCATTTCGTAAAGTTATCAGTTGGTAGAGATACTGTGGTTCCTTATAGTTTACCTAACGAAAAGAGAGGAAGACCGTTTCTACCTTACGAAGATTCTGCAACATCTAGTAAGAGACGAAAAAATACTACATTGCTAAAAGAATATAGATTTGATCGCATACACAGTTTCTGGGATTACGGTCAATGGGAGAAAGTGATGAAGCAAATTTAGTAGAGACTAGTTTGCAGCCTAATGAAAAGAAATCAATTTTAAAACTGGTCCACCATGATAAATCACAACCATTGACGCAGATGAAGCATTAAGTGTTTACATTGATTTAGATTTGACTAAAGCACAATATTCATACCTTAGAAATCTAACCAATGAGAAAATGTGCTTTTTATTGCCACCTTAGCACAACATCCAAGAAAGTAAAAAAAAGCTGTTATCCACCTGTTTCTAGCATAGAAATCAGCAATACTTGTGCAAAGGTAACATCTTTACAAGATTTATTAAATCACGCGATTAATAGGATTCTATTAATTGAATCAGTATATAAGCCTGGATTACAACACTTAGTTTTATATAGCAAGTGGGGGTGTTAAGAAAACTTTAACATTTTTTTATTTGGTTTAATTTTTGTAAATTTGGTTGCATACGTGCATGCATTTAAAGTTATTATGTTTCGGCTTTTGTACGGGTCAAGTTTTTGTTTGCATTTTTGACAATATATAAGGACGACTCGCGTACCTTTTCGTTACATACACATTTTTCGTTCATTGCTGCAAGTCGAAATAAAAATTTGATTTGGTTAAGTTTTTCGTTTAACCTTTAGGGGGCCGGGATTTTAGGTAACATATTGTCTGAAGAAAATCGATACAAAATGTACTTCATATGATATATTTATCATATACAAAGACTGATAACATAGACCACCACTTAAGTGGTGGTCCCGGTCCTCTAAAGGTTAAAAAGTTCTGATGCAAAGTATTATAGGGATTAGATCAATTCAATAGTTATCTATTATTCAGTTATTTATTAACTAAAAGCAATTTTTCCCCTAACCATAAAGGGCTGTATCTTAGAGGAGAAAGGGTTTTGAACAAAAAGTTATATGAAAGACACCTGAATTTTTGCTGAAAAATCACCACTTGAAATCTTCTCTCGCTCTACAGCATTCCTTGGAATTTAATTTCTAAAGAGCTCTTATTGCTTCTTTTTGCTTTATAAATATTTTTCGTGCATAAGGAGATGCACCCCACAGAAGAATTCCGTATGTTGCATCACTGTGAAACAGTGAAAAATAAGCTTGGTGAGTCGCTTCATACCTTGTTGTTCTATTTAATACCCTGATAGTGTAGATTATTGAACTTAATTTACCTGACATATACTGGACATGGGTTTGAAAGGTAAGGCTATTGTCTAATTAGAATTTCCAGAAATTTTACGGTTGCTCTTTCCTCTTCAAGTATCGTACAAAACCTCATAATCTGCGTTTTCTCTCTATTTAGCATGACTTTATTGCTATTAAACCAAATTTCTGCGTCTTGCATTAAAAGTACAGTTTTTCTTTGTAGACCTTCTTCTGTAATATNTGCTTTTCATCGACCCTTGAAAATTTTGAAAAACAAGATAAACCAAAAAAAATGCAAGAAAATAATAATAATACATAAGAGAAACAGGACGCAGGTATTTGATATAATAACATAATATCGTTGGCGTCATATGAAAATTGCCTAAGTCCATTTTTTTGGGAAATTGAGATTTTAGTGTAATCTTGTTAAAAATCAACTTAACTATAACGTAGGACCATAGTTTGATAATAAGTTGTTTGGTGGCACCGCAATATCAATATTTGAAAATTGCGTAAGTCCGATCAAGTTTAAACAGTGTGAAAATTACGTAAGTCCGTTGCTTTGCGCTCGCTCACTACATTTACCAAATTATTTAGTTATTACGGTACGGTTTTTGTCGCTGCGATTAATTCCAAGAATCGGATTGGTCGTCTGGCGTCGGCGAACCTTAATTGTTTTTATTTAGTTATTAATGACAGATGTGTCGATGTGTCAAAACTCTACGTGACAAATTAAAATGGATGAAATAAGATTCGACAATAACGTAAGTGATTTTAATAAAAAAGAAGACAAGATGACATTACAAAATTTATATTATGACTTATGACCGTTCTCAGGCAATAGAAGTTCAAAAAAAAAATGTTAACTTTAATAATGATTACATAAACAACGCACATGGAAATAATGAAAATTGCATTGAAGATAAGGAAAATGAAGTAGTAGAGGAAAATGACTACTTAAACCCTGATCGCGAAAGAAATTTGGAAGAGGACATTGGCATCAAGGGTAAAAAACGGAAAAGACAACAGAACAGATTAAGTGACAGTAACTGTTGGGAATATAACGCAAACAAAAAGAAGCGTGAAGAAGGGAAAATGTACAAGGGAAGACTGGGAAACCAATTTTTAGTTGAGAGAAATAAAAGAGTAATGAAGAAAAGATGCACATGTCAAAACAAATTATTTAAAACTACGAATCCTTTAAAATGTTTTCAAATAAACGAAGAAGTACGAAAAAAGATTTTGAATAAATTTTGGAGTTATTCTTGGGAAGAAAAAAAATGTATGTTAAAGGACGTGCAATCGCATCAAATGTTAAGAGAGCGAGAAATAGAATAGCTGAGGATCAGAGCCGTAGGACTATTTCTTATACTTTCTATATGGATAGACAAACCGCAAGAGTTCGAGTGTGCAAAACTATGTTTTGCAATACTTTAGGTATGTCTATGAGGACTATTACAGACTGGCTTAGTAAAGAATCACTATCACCAACTAGAATAAACAGTACAAATTCGGAAGCTAAAACTCAATATCAAAATCAAAAACAATTAAGAAGTACTGATAAAAAGAAGAAAGTAATGGATTTTTTCAGCAGTTTACCAAAATTAAAATCCCACTATTGCAGAAAAACATCAACTAAACTGTACTTAGAACCGTGTTGGAAAAGTAAATCTGAACTTTACAGATTTTTCGTAAATTCGTGGTGTAAAGACCGGAAAATTGAAGGGATAAGTAAGACAATGTTTAAATATATTTTTGATGACATGAATTTGGCCCTCTTCAGACCTAAAAAGGATGAATGCGATATTTGTGTGGGATTTCGAAATAAAAATATTGCAGAAAAAATTTATCAAGAACACCTTAAAAGGAAAATTGAAGCACGTGATGAAAAAGAAAAGGACAAGGAATCATCAAACTTAGTTATAACCATGGATTTACAATCAGTTTTGTTATGTCCCCAGTCTAATGTCTCCTCTTTATATTATAAGAGTAAGTTAATAATTCATAATTTTACAATTTTTGACTTACATTCTAAGGATGGATATTGCTTCTTCTGGCACGAAGGAGAAGGCGAGCTAAAGGCTAACTGCTTTGCATCTATTATTTGTAATTTTTTGGCTACAACAATGTTACGTGATATAGATCTCAAGAATAAACCTGACATTATTATTTATAGCGATTGATGTGGTTCACAGAATCGTAACGCTATTCTTTCAAATGCCCTGTTAAATTTTGCGATGGAACATAATATTTGTGTCATACAAAAATATTTAGAAAAGGGGCACACACAGATGGAGTGCGACTCCATGCACTCTATCATAGAAAGAAAAATATCTGGTAAAGTAATCAACGTACCAACAGATTATATTCAGTATGCAAAAACAGCTAGACTTCACCCAAGACCTTAAGTAGTGCAGTATTTACACCACGATTTCTTTAAAAATTTCTCTAGCATTAATTTTGTAAATTCAATTCGTCCGAGGTTTAAGGTTGGTGATCCTACTGTTAACAACCTTAGAGCGCTAAAATACAAACCTGATGGAACTATTGAATATAAACTACGCTACTCCAATGAATTTGAAATTTTACCGGTTAGAATGAATAAGAAGGCTTTAATACCAATGGAAAATTTGCCGAAACTATATGGTGACAAATTAAAAATTAAGAAAGAAAAATACGAACATCTTCAATCTTTAAAAAATACAATAGAGAAAGATTATCATGGTTTTTATGATGCTCTTCAACATGTTTAGTTAATATTTACTTCAACATCCTTAATTAATATTTAATTTAAAGTTAATATAATCTTATATAATAAAAGTTAATTGTGTACCAAGAATTTTTTCATTCCTATATAACAATAATAGTGTTTTCGGTTTCATAAAAATCGTGAATGTTTTTTGTTATGATTTTTGCCTAACTCCATTGTATTTTTTTACGAGTTTTTTTTTGTGTTGTCATTATCTATAGGTATGTTAACATAGGATCTTGCCTTAAGCATTATTGAAAAGAAAATTAAGATATATAAAATATTATAGTTTAAAAATGATTTTTTTTTGTCTCCTGTAAAATTTACTTTTTTGGACTTAGGCAATTTTCATATGACGCCAACGATATGCACTATTTGCGGTGCCAATCAAATTTAAGACGTATATTGCTCAAAAGGTACAAGTAATAGGTGAAAATGATCCAATCCGAAGGTCTCAATTCGTTGTTTTACGTAAAATTATTTGGACAGATGAATGTACTTTTACTAATAATGGAATTTTTAATCGCATTATTCACTGCTGTTGGAACCAAAAAAGTCTTAGATTGGTCATCAACATAACCATCAACGTCGTTTTAGCTGTAATGTTTGGTGTGGCCTACTTAGAGATCGCTTGATTGGGCCATTCTTTATCAACGGTTCCTTAAATCAACAAAAATATGACCAGCTGTTAAGTGAAGATGTTGAAAATTGTTTGGATGCCGGTGCTACTTCTCATAATGCACGCATAAACGTTGATTGATTGAATCAAAATTTTAATCAATAATGGATTGGCACTAATAGACCTATTCGTTGGCCTGCGCGTTCTCCTAACTTTACGCCCTTAGATTTTTGGCTTTGGGGATATCTGCAAGATCGGGTTCATTTAGCAATGCCACAGAATATAAACGATACCTAACGATTTCATATTAAATTCCATGCATGGTGTTATAAAGAGATGCCAGCGTTGTATTGAGCATGACGATAATCAATTCGAGTAATGTTTGTACAATTTTTTAGTTTAGATTTTTGTTTTTGATGACCAGTATGTACCATATTTATGCGACGAATTTATCAAAATATTAATCGGAATTAAAAGAAGCGAAGTATTATTCTGTTATTGTGGATTCGACGGCCGATATTCTAGTTTTAGTTCTAATTTCAGTTCAATTAACCATTGTTGTCAGATATGTCAATAAAAATGGGAGCACCGTTAAAAGGTTTTTAAATTTTTAGAAAATACTGGCCACAAAAGCTCAAATATGGAAAATTTTATCTTAAATCTATTATCTGATTTAGATATTAATTTGAAAGATTGTTGAGGACAATCTCACGATAATGCACGTAATATGTCTGGTATATCGACGGACTCGGAAGTACGCACTAAATTCAAAAACAATCTTGTCATTTACGTACCTTGAGCAGCACATTATTTAAATTTAGTTGGAGAGTCGGCAGCGGAATACTGCTTACAAGGAACTAAATTATTTTTATTTCTTCAAAATCTATGCAATGTCTTTGCCGTGTCAACATCAAGATGGGAAATTTTGAAAGATACTAAAAGTTCCTAAAAAGTTGAGCGGCACTTGTTGATCCGCAAGAGCTGATTCCGTGAAGGCAGTTGTTTCCGGTTATGAAAATTTTAAAAATGTTTTGAACAAAATTTCCGAAGACAATTTTCAAAAGCCTGCAACAAAAATTGAAGCTCAGATTGTTTAATGGATTCAACTCACTGGAAACTGGCATATGGTAGAATTTAGCAGCGATTTTTCCAAAAATTTTCATGACTGGTACAATTTTAAGAAAGGTGACAACAGTCGAGCCCTCAATCAGGTTAAAAGAAGAAAAAATTTATGTTACCAGCCAGTGATGTGAGCTTGTACATTACCAAAAAATAACAATAGTAAATTACCGTAATTTACTAGGTAAATAACGATATTATTTTGAGTAAACTACAGTTTTTTACGGTAAATATCGTATTTTACAACACTTGGCATCATCATCAACCAAGTGGAATGGTGGGAAAGCGAACAAGTTATAACACGTGTATCGCCGACTCACAACGCACGTAGTTAGTCGTGTCTAGTGTCTCGTGTCGTGACTTTGTTAAAAAGTGATCATGGCCAGAAAAGATAAAATTAAAAGCATTATAGTAGATGCTTTTATAAAAACTAATGGAAAAACATACAAGTGTAAATTTTGTAAACAATCTTACGTCTTACGTGTTGTGACAAGGATGTCCCAACACTTGGTACAAAAATGTATACGCTGCCCTCCAGCGATAAAGAAAGCTATCCACCAAGATTTGAATATTGGCGAAAGAACATCACCTCCATTTGCTCCATTTCACTCATTGTCAGAGTCCGAAACAGAAACAGATATCGAGTATGAATCCGAAGAATCGGAAATAATGGACCAACCCGCAGAAAATTCAAATAAGAACAATTCGCTCGAAGAAAGGACACTTTAGATAAATATGAACATTATTGTATTTTATTTGTTGTATATTTATGTTCATATTTAATATTAAAATAAAAATATAATATACATAATATTAATTTTTTATTAATTTAATATTTAAAAATAAAATTATAACACGGTTTCACGATACAGATTTATTACCGCAGTAGTTAAAATTTGTAATTAAAAGTCGTAAATTACCACACTAAATTACGACAAATAAAAATTACGGTAATTTAACATCACTGTTACCATCTCTATCGTTTGGCACCAATTGACAGAGAAAAAGTACGAAGTATCATCCAAGGTCTCGCAGCAGGCGGAATTATCAGAGAAAGTAATTCGCCGTTTGCAAGTCCATGTCTACTAGTTAAGAAGAAAGATGGAAGCGATCGGTTATGTGTGGATTATCGATCTTTGAATCAAATTAGAATCAAAATAAATACCTTTACCACTTATTGACGATCTATTGGACAGGTTAGGAAATTCAAAATACTTTACCACATTAGACATGGCGTCAGGTTTCCACCAGATTCCCATTACCCAAGAATCAATTTACAAAACTGCTTTCGTGAGACCTGATGGTCAATTCGAATATCTACGAATGCCGTTTCGATTGGCTAACACCCGCTGCGTATTTCAGCGTGAAAATTCAGAAATTTTGTTGTATTTAGCCGATGCAATATAGATCATCACCATGACATGTATCATATTGTACATATATATATGCGTTCTTTATAATAAATCAGTTAACTAGACGGCGCGGCGTATGACTCATAACCCGAACCTCAAAGGAACAAAAACCCAATATGCGCAACTGTTACATTTAATCGGTGAGGAAGCTATCCGAATGAATACGTTCAAATTTGAAGATGAAAAAAATAAAATAGTCGTTTTAAAGAAAAAATTTCAAGAATATTTTACTTCAAAAAAGAACCTAACCTACGAAAGCCACAAATTTTTCACATGGCGTCAAGGTCATTTTAATATGGAACAATTCATTACTGAATTGAAAAATAAAGCAAACTAATGTGAATTTGGTAACTTGAGGGATGAGTTAATCAAAACAATGATTATTATTGATGCTAAGGACGACATATTAAGTGAAAAACTGTTGGAGAAAGAATACACGCCGTTGAATCGCATGGTAGCTGCATCCTTACGGAAATATTAATAGCCAATTTGAAACAGATGCAATAAAGAGAAGAAAATGGAAGAAATAAAAAAGTAGATACCGTTGTAACAGATTATAGCACCAAAACAGTAAAAGTACAAAGGAAACAGGTACGACTTTGAATTGATAAACAGTTGCAATTGATCGCTAATTATCGTAACGGGGTAACTAACCATCGAGGAGTGGAGAAAACGCTAAAACACTTACAGAAAAATTATTGGTGGAAAAACATGAAAAGTGTCATCACACGATAGGATTCACACATCAAGGATTGTAACATACAGTTGCTCACAAAATTGAGTATACAGCTGAATGGAAGATAGATAAATGTGAAAATTTCAAATAATTATTAATTTGTTTTAAAGTTTGTGATATATATGTATTAACAACAATCTTATGAACTAATTTGTTTTCAAAATAATCCAGTTTTTCAAATAAAATAATCACAATACTAACAATAACAAAAAATGACACGACATTCACGCCACAAAATTGAGTATACAGTTAAGACAAAGTGAATAAGTTTAGCTGAATTGTCATAATATCGAGAACAATTGCTTGACAATGGCTACCTTACGAAAAGAAACAACTTTAGAAATAAGAAAACTAGCGGTGAAGCTATATTCTGAAGGTAAATCCTTTAGAGATATTGGAAAAATTATTGGAAGACCCTATTCCACGATACAAAAAATCGTAAACAAGTGGAGGTACGAAGGAACATTGAAAAACTCCACCGGCAGAGGCAAAAAGAAAGTGCTAACAGAATACGATGAACGTAATATTGTACGTAAAGTTAATATAAATCCAAAAATAAGTGTTCCAAAATTAACTGTAGAGATCTCAAAAATAATAAATAAGAGCGTGTCCACTGAAACAATTCGACGCGTGCTTAGAAAGAATGATCTCCATGGGCGCATTGCGCGGAAAAAACCTTTTATAAACACAATAAATAAAAGAAAGCGCTTGGATTTTGCGA